CTGTCTCCCACAAACATCCTTGGAAAGTACAGCCACAGCTTGGAAACTCTCTGTGCCTCTGGCACAAAGGTTGGGGAATGCTCCCTGCTGACTCCCACATGCCCCAGGCAGGCAGGCAGGAAATACCCAGTCAGGTTCCATCCAGCATTTAAAAGCCACAGACAGATGTGGACATGAGCCCTTCCTTATCAGCATCCCTGAGCAAACCACCCACAGTCCTCTGGAGCCCCAGGACAGCCGCTCCTCAGCCCTCCAGGAGGGCAGGACATTCCACCTCCCCCCGAATTTTCCAGGCACTGGGTAGAGCTCAGAGACACAACGTGGGTCCTACAATCCATTTATTAGTCTAGTAAAAACAAGGCTGCAAAGGGATGTGTTTGCTACACCTGACACGGGGAGGAGCCTCAGGCTCTGCCAGGCCTGGCCAAGCCTCTGCAGGAACCCTGACTGGCATCCCTCCCACCCCACCCTTCTGTCCCCTTATTGCAGTGGCTGTGCCAGCGGTGACTGTGGCTATTGCTCAGCTCTAGGAAAGGCATGGCAGAGCCCTCCAAAACCCACAGCACCCACTGGCAGGGCAGGGGATGCAGCTGTCAGGCTTGCAGACAAGCCAGATGACAGCATCCCTCCCCACAGAGCCACTGTGATCCCCAGGGAACAGGCAGGGTCAAAGAACCTTCAAAGCTATTTGTCCAGGCACCCTCATCTCCCCAGGAAAAAGCCACACCAGGCTGCTCTCAGCGGGATTGGGGATGCCTGCAAGGGCACGTCTGCTGCTCACAGGCAGGGTGAAACCACGGCTAACCTCGGCTGGGAGCAGGCAGGGGGGAGGGCAGGGACACGCACCCAGCGAGGAGGAGGAGGAGGGTGGTTTGCCTAGCAGCGTTGGTGCTAATGCTGGAGGGGACTGACAGACAGGCTGGGGATGATCAGGCAGACCATGCAGGCCCTCTTGTGCCTCATTAAACCTGCTGCTCAGGCAGGCATCTCCCAGATGCCCACCTGAGGCTGAGGGCACACGGCACCCAGGGCCACCCCCAAGCATCTGGACTGGCAAGACCCTGCTTTGCCAGGAGGGCTGGGGCTGCTCAGGTTTCCCTGGGCACACCCTGCCATGGAGCAGCCAGCCTGCACTTGTGCCAGCCCTGCTGCCTCCCCTCTCCAGGCGCCCAGCCAACTTTGCTCAGGTCTGTGACCTTGTTGCCCAGGCCATGAGCGCCAGAGAAGAGCCCACAACCCTCTTCCCAAATGAGGGGTGCACTTGAAGGCAGAGCTCCTGCTGTGCTCACTGGCTGCTGGGACAGGCATGAGTGTCCCTGTAGCATATCCCCATCAGCTGTCTCTCTATCCCCATCATCCCTGTGGGCACTCGCAGGAACTTCACACATCAAAGCCACAAAGGCAAAGGGCTGTGCCCCCTGTCATAGCCCCTGCAAGCTTTCCCCTCAGGGTGTCCCCTCAGCTTTCATCGTGCCTGGTCCAGCACTCGAGTTGCAGCACAGGCATCCAGTCTGGCACAGCCGGATACCCCAGTCCCAGGCAGATCAGGGCTGCAGCAGGTACTTCTCTTCATTCCTCGACTCATCCACATCAGAAGCCGGGGTCTTCTTGGGACATGAGGGGGTCCTGCAGGCTTTGCAGAGGATGAGGAAGAGGATGAGGATGAGCAACGCAATGACACAGTTAAAAGAAATTGCCACGATCGCTCCGGTGGAGAGAGCAGCCGCCATGGCCACAGTCCCGCAGGAATCGGCAGGGCCCACAGCCCGGGCTCACGCTTGGGATGCCAGGGCAGTGACTGAGCGTGCAGCCTCCACCTGCCGGCATTGGCAGGGGACAAAGGGGACGGCCGCGGTGCTGGCGGTGGGATGGGGATGGGGCCAGGCTGGCAGCAGGACAGTGTCACCCCGTCACTTCGGCCGCCCACAGCTGTGTCCCGGGCTGCACCACACCACAGGGAAGCTTTCTCTCGGCTTCCCCTCCTCCGACAGGGCAGTGAGGACACAGGGATCACTTTCTCCCTCCAGCACCTGGAAGAGAGAAAGTCGCAGTCACGGCAGGCATGAAGGGACAGGCTCCGGGAGCCCCTCAGGGCGGGCTGTGGGGTGCCAGGGCACAGCTGGCAGGGCCCACTGGGGCTCCGCTGGAGTTCGAAACCTGCAGCGGCTCCCAGGTCAGGTGCTGTTTGGGGGACATTTCCAGCACCCCTTTCCAGCCCTGGCTCTGCCCCTCACGCCCCGCCTGGGCCACCAAGCTGGAGCTGTCCCCAGTGCGAGACCCGTCGCCTCATCGCGGCCCACACGCTCCTTCCCGTGCACTCCCGGGTGACTCCGGACAGCCCTGGCCCCGCTCCGATCCCCTCTCCATCCTCCAACTCCTCTTCCTGCCGGCGGGACGCCGCTGCGAGGTCCCGCATGCAGAAGGGGGCCGGGGCGGTGGCAGCAGGTGGGCAGGGCAGCCGCCGTTGTGCTGTTAACGGGGTCGGGCAGAGCCCCGGCTGCGGCTCTGACCCGCGGGGCCTCTGACCCCCGCCCGCCGCGGAACGGGACAACCACGGAGCCCCCGGAACCGGACGGCAACAGGTCCCACCAACTCCGCCCTCCCGCCGCGGAGCCCCGGCGTTACCCACCTGCCTCCGCTTCTCCCCCGGGGTCGGACCCCGGTGCCGGCGGGAGGGCGGGCGGCGCTGCGGGGGCCGGGGCCCCGCTGGGAGCGGGCGCCCCCCGCCCCACTATTGGTCAGCCCCTCCGCCCGCCGCCTACCATTGGCCGAACACGTCCCTCGGGATACGCCCCCTCTCCCGGCTCCCACGTGAGCGGCGGGGGAAAGAGCGCCGGGCAGCGCGCGCTCTGCCGGCCCGGCCCGGGACCCGGAGCGGTGCTGCCCGATACTGTCCCGGTACTGTCCCGGTAATGCTCGGTACTGCCCCCGGTACTGCCCCGGTACTGCCCCGGTAATGCTCGGTACTGCCCGATACTGTCCTGGTACAGTCCCGGTAATGCTCGGTACTGCCCCCGGTAATGCTCGGTACTGCCCCGGTAATGCTCGGTACTGCCCGATACTGTCCCGGTACAGTCCCGGTAATGCTCGGTATTGCCCCCGGTACTGCCCCCGGTACTGCCCGGTGCTGGCTGCCCCCGGTACTGCCTGGTACTGTCCCGGTACTGCCCGGTACTGTCCCGGTACTGCCCGGTACTGCCCCCGGTACTGCCCTCGGTACTGCCCCCGGTACTGTCCCGGTACTGCCCGATACTGCCTCGGTACTGCCCGATACTGCCCAGTACTGTCCGATACTGCCCGGTACTGCCCCCGGTACTGCCCCGGTACTGTCCCGGTACTGCCCCCGGTACTGCCCCCGATACTGCCTGGTACTGTCCCGGTACTGCCCGGTACTGTCCCGGTACTGCCCGGTACTGCCCCCGGTACTGTCCCGGTACTGTCCCCGGTACTTCCCTGGTACTGCGCTGGTACTGACCCCGGTACTGCCCCGGTACTGGCCTGGTACTCATCCGGCACTGCCCCGGTACTGCCCCGGTACTGCTCCGGTACTGCCAGCGGTACTGAGCCGGTACTGCCCTGGTACTGCCCCGGTACTACCGGCACTACTGCCCCTGGTACTGCCCGGTACTGCCAGTGGTTCTGCCCAAGCACCACATGCGCGTGGTGACACAGATGCACAGCAGGGACACCGGGCAGCCAGGCTTCGCCGCACGGCGTGTCTCCGGGCAGCGGGATGAAGGATTGGCGAAGGCAGAGCTGTAAGGGAGATGGGACATCCCTCCGCTGACCCGAACCCATGGGTGTGGTGGCTGGGTAAAGCGCAGTCCTGAAGGGAGAGCCACCAAGCCAGCTGAGGATAACTTCCAGTAAAACAAAAATCACAATCACTTTGCAGCTTTGATGAGTGGCTTTAAACGTGCCACGGCCGTGAGGGAGGGTTACACATGCTGCCTGAGGATCTGGCTCTCTCGACTCTCTGCTAAGAGGGTGTTTTGAGTAAACACAGACACATTGCCAGTTGAAATGTCAGAAGGCATCTGATCAGACACTCAAGCATCTTCCTTGGCATTTATGGCTAATCTCTAATTAGTCGAGAAAAGCGGTCTCCTCCTTAGATGTAAGGGAGCAGCAGCTGGGAACAGCAGAAAGATAAAACAGACTAACTCTGCCCCATCCCCAGGACTCCCATCTGCCAGCACAGCAGGCAGGTCCAAGTGTTTCCCTGACTCCCTCCAGGTAGCGGAGCAGGGAGCAGTGAGACCTCCAGAAGGGGGGGAGGAGGCGTGCAAGCCTGGCACAGTCCTGGCTCCACTGGCGCTTGTTGGGATGCAAGGCAGGTGTCTGTGCACCAGGCAGGCTGGCGGAGTTGTCTGGCTGCAGGTAACGCTGCACCGCTCCTGCTCCCCCTCACCTCGCTAAAATCTCTTCCTTTGATGCTTGTTACCCTTTCACTGCCAGTGCAGAGTGCTGGGTCCAGCTGGAGCTCACTGCACAAGCAGTGACACGGGAAGAGCGGGAAGAGCACACAGGACAAGAGCTCAGCCACAGGAACAGCCCTTCTCTCTGGCCCAGAATTACTGACCAGACCTGCTCCAGGAGGGAAACTACTGCACAAGGAAAGATGATCCATCCTTTGCCTCACTCAGCAGAGTTCAGGACGAGTCTTTTTGAGGCTGCAGTTCCAGCCAGTTTATTAAAGGAGGGGAAAAAATATTAGGAAAAAACTTCACAGAAAAGAAACAGAACCTTGATCTATTTTGGATGTGAAAGGAGGTTAATATTTGCATATTAACCTCCCCTTGGATCAGGGTCCATTTACAGTCACGAGAGGTACAAACAGAGCAGCAGGAGGGCAGGAAGAGAAGAGCTTCAGCCAGCAGCTGCAAACCTGAGGTACAAACAGAGCAGCAGGAGGGCAGGAAGAGCTTCAGCCAGCAGCTGCAACCCCGCCACCAACGCTTACAGGGTGACCTCCAGTGGGATGAGTAAGACATGACAAATTTCCAAGTTACATGAAGTTACATCTTTATTTTAAAGCCATCTTTGTGCATTATCAAGGAGCAGAAAGGGGAAAGAACAAGATCCTTTGGAGCTTCCCATTACCACCACCCCAGGACAGCTGCAGAGCCACAGGATTTCAGGCTGGTTACAACGCGAGTCGACTGCTCCCTGTTTGGAGAGAGAACCACGACTGCCAGCTCTGCTGAGCCAAGGAGCTACATGCACACGATGCCAGACAGAGCTGCATCCCGGCAGTCCCACATTCAACCTCCCCACAGGCTCAGCAGAACTCTTCAGGCACAGAAAGAGTTGTCCCAGCCCCGTGCCCTGCTGTCTGTATGCTCATGAGCCTGGGCGACACTGGCAGCTTCCCCAGGGATCCACATCAGGTCCTGTCTCCCCTTTATACTGGTCAGAGCAACCTGCACCTGCCACACAGACAGGCGTCTGTCCCACTGCCCGGACTGCTGCACGCCCAGGCACCTGAAACCTCACTGGGCTAGCAGCCCTTTGCTGGGACTCACTGACAGCACACCAACAGTTCTCGCTCAAGAAGAGGCAATTCCCATCTTCCGTGATCCCCTAAGGAGTACAGCCCGGCAGCCTTTGGCAAGGGAACTTGTCAAAACACATTTTCAGACAGCTATGATCACAGCCAGTCCTAACAGTCCGCTCGTCCTCTGTGAGCCCCCGTGTCCAGCAGCAGCTGTGCAGCCACAGCCCCGGGCTGGTTTCTGCAGCTCCCTGAACCACGCGCGGAGCTGCGGCCTCAGGGCCCCCCCGGGATTCCCCCGGTGGAGCGAGGGTGCTTCCCTGTGCTGGCAGCTCCCCGGCCTCCACCCTGCTTCCTCTTCATCTGGCCCTGCGGTTCTGCTTTCAGCGTCTCAGTCCAGAAGGCATCGAAAGATCCTGGGGCCTGGTATCCCGGCTCCTGAGGATCCAGGGCATCTTTGCTCAGCAGGACACATATGGCAGGAATGTTTCTCTTCACTGTCAAGGCATCGAGGCCTGCCTCAGGCACAATGGGTTCCCAGATTTCTTCGATCTGTTTGAAGAGCACTTTGGTGATCTGGTGCAGCTCCTTCAGCCTTCGTTTCATGATTTCCACACAGGTGATGGTCTTGCTGACGGCCTTGCCTGAGCCAGTGAAAAGAATCTGCCTCACCGAGTCCTGCTCCATCTTGCTCATGGCATAGCCCATCAGATTCCTAATTTTGCTCCCGTCCTTCACCTTCATTTCGATAATATCAGCAGGCAGGTCAGTGAAAGGAAGAGGACAAGGTTTCTCCACAATTTTGGTCTTCTTATAGTTCTCCATTCTGCAATGCTGAAAAGGAAAACAGACCCATGAACACCCAGCCCAGTGTAATTGCTGCACAAAGAAACTCTCACCACAGTTAGCTACCTTTCCTCTGAAGGGCACTCTGAACGATCAGGGCTGGGAATCCTGGAAAGGCATAACCAAAAGATTAGGCCAGTCCTCATAGTGACATACCTACAGTATGAATGTTACCACAGGGCAGCCTGAGCCTTGGCATGCAGCCTGTGAAAGAAACAGCATTAGTGTTGTGGGCCTAAGGAGGCTGACATGAAAAACACTGCTGTATCACATGAGAAGACAGAACAAACAAGTGGGATGGGGTGACTAAGAACACAACTCGGGGATGCTGGCCACAGCTGCACCAGAACACGCACAGGATGAATTCAAGCACAGTTCACACGCAGCACCTCGTGTACAAATACAGGCTCTTGGGGACCTGGCCAGCCCAGCTGAGGGTAAAACACTGCATGTCACCCGGGAGATGGCAAGCCAGGGATTGCAGCAACAAGAAAAGGTTTCCTCGAGGGAAAGACGGAAAGGCCAGGTCTCACAGCTGCCGTCTGTGCCAAGCTTGACCCTGCGCAGGGCACTCCACGTCCCCACCTCACAGCTCAAGGTGCTGAAGGCCGCAGTACTTTGTTACCCGCTGCACCCAGACCCTGCACCCCGCACCCCATCCTCCTGAGGGACACGGCAGCGCGGAGACCCGGCTCCGAACCCTGGGAGCACACGAGGCCCTCACCCCCACACGGCCGCCGCCGCCATGGGTGTCTGGGGGCCCGGGGGGAGCCAGGCCGCCGCGGTGGGACGCGGGAAAGCCGGGGTGGGAGTCAGGGATGCCCCGGTGGGGCGTTCGGAACCCGCGCTCACCTGCGGCCGCCTCAGCGCGCCCTTCGACACAAGATGGCGACCGACGCCGGGCGCGCGCAAGCGCGAGGCGGATGGGCGTGGCTCGATGGCGGGGCCACGCCCGTCAATCACACGGCCGGGTGGGCGGGTAGCGGGCGGGGTGAACGGCGGCCCCGCCCACCGGGTGGTCCCGGGCCAATTCCTGCTCCCACCGGCACATCCAGCCCTGCCGGCCCCGGGCACATCCATCCAGCCGTGCCGGCCCCGGGCACATCCATCCAGCCCTGCCGGCCCCGGGCACGCACACGCTGTCCCTGTGCGCACCCACGAAAGGCCGTGTGCCAGCTCCCACCCTCAGGCAGCTCCCCAGGCAGCTGGAGGGAGCGGGGGGGTTTTCCGCAGGCCTGCAGCCCCATTGTGGTTTGACAACCAGCGAGGTTGCCGATGAGGGAAAGTTCAGGGACCGGCTATTCTGGACTTCCTGTGGGGATTCTGCCCTGTTCCTGGAGGGCTCCCACGGCACACTCAGCTGGGGAGTCTCACCAACCTGAAGGGTTTGAGACTCTTGCAAAAGCATGGTTTTGGAAACTCCATGCTACAGCCAGACCAGGCAAGGCATGGCTTGTGCCTCTCTCTGGAAAGGGAAAGAGCCAGCACGGGGGCCTTGGCTTGCAGCAGCCTCAGGAAAGCAGAGGCAGGATAAAGGCAAAAGCTGCTGCCTTCTCTCAGCACAGACATGGGAGAACAACAAGGCAGACAAGTTCCATAACACCAGATTCCCCTGGGCACAGGCAACTCACATGAACAGGAAGAGCATGCGGCAGAGTGTATGTGTTGCAGTTCGATTTGGGGTGGGGCACCCCGGGGAGGTCCCCGGAGGGCCTCCTAGGCTGTGAGCTGGCTGGCAGCAGCAGGCAGGCAAGGAGACTCCACACGGCTTCTGAGGTTGCTGATTAGATGAGAGTTTATTGGGGGTCCCATCTCTGGGATCAGCATGGTTACTGGGGGAAAAGGGGGGAAGGGGGAGGGGGAAGGAGGGGGAGCCTAGGGGAGGGAAGGGGCAAGAGAGGGGAAAGGCTGAGAGAGCAGAAGGGCTAAGAGAGTGACTGATTTCATAGCACAGCTTAAGAGGGAGATTGAAGTGGGCGCAGAATCAGACTTGTGCCAATGGGATTAGACACAGGATGGTTCAGGGCAGGACCACAGGCTTAGAATATACCATACATTTCGGAGGGGAGAGACAGAGCATACCATTTCAACAAAATGCAATACAACATCTATGGAACAATGTGGGACCTTGGCCCAAGGCCCAAGGCTAAAAGGAACCACTGGCCATCTCCTGGAGGCTGCCAAGAGATCACTGCCTGGGGAAAAATCCCCAGCCCGTGCCAGGAGCAGTCCTCACACCCAGGGAGAGACAGATAACCCAGTTAGTGTTCCAGGACTTTACTATAGTAACACAGATGCCTTTCAGCAAAGTCCAAGATTTGCAAATAGTGGCAGATTAAGGAGCAGGGTGGCTTTGACTGGGGGCTGGCATGGCTCTGTACAGAGCTGGGTGCCCCAGGACCCTCCCGTGTCACTTCAGCATGCTCATGCCAAGCAGGAAGGAGCTGGGACCAGCAGGATGCAAGCTGTGCCACAGGAGCCCTGAGCACGCTGCGCTCCCAGCTCTGACATCACTCTGCCACAGGTTTTGTTTGCTTGGCCACTTCCAGACGTGTCAGGATTTCATTCCACTGCACAAACTGCTTGGAGAGAAGCAGAGTCTGGACATGACATTTAAGGAAAATAATGTGGGAATTGCGAGGAAGAAACCCAGGTCAGAGCATCTTGACAGCACCATTACAATTCTGATTCCTTGGGAGAGCCCAGGGCACCAGACTGTTGAAAGCCTACATGGATTCAATCCATCCAGTGGCTCTGCCACTTCACAGTACAGGAGTCCAGGAGGCACTTGTGAACACCACATACCACTGCCATGCAAGGGCTTTCCACACAGCTTCCCTACCCACTGTGGCTTTGGGATGTGCCACTGGGATCCTAGGCAGCCAGGACAGGGACACAGGTGTCACCACATCAGAAGGGCTGTTAAACCCCAAGCTGGAGATGCAACAGATCAACCAGGGGAAGGGGTTCAGGTGTTCCAGGTCCGTCCAAGATCAAAGGATACCATTTTGTTGTAATCCTCAAGGAGTGTCTTGACACTGTCAGTGAGATCGTGACGCTTCTCCTGCGATGAGAAGAGCCACAGTGCATGAGCAATAAATAAGGTGAAGGACATTTCTCCCTTCCCAGTCCATGCCAGCACAGCAGGAAACTCATACAAGGCCAGCACTGAGATCAGTGCTCATGCCCTGGCTGTGGGTGCTCACTGAAGCTGGACAGGTTTTCACAATCAAGAGAAAGGTGACAAACACTGGTCCCATGAAGCAGCAAAGCCCCCAGGCTTGCACTGCTGCCTGCCTCTCCTCAGTATCCAGGCTTGCCTCAGAACAGAAACTTACAGCAAAACGCTGAAAGAGACCATTAGGAACTGGCAGGCTACTCACTGCCAGCTCCAAGAGTGCCCATACAGGGAGAGAAAGGGTGAAGGGACAGCATGAGAGTGTCAACAAAGTTCCAGAGAGTAGGACACTGGAGGAGCCCAATGCTTCGCCTCAATGTCTCTGCAGACGGGGAAATTCAAGACCAGTAAACCCACTGTCACTTACTACATGTCACTGAAAGCTGTTTTGAGTAGGGTTATGGTGGGCAAATTTCCAACTTGGACTCAATTCACAGAAATCCTGGCTCCTTTTCCCCCTTGGAGTACTTAAACTTCTTTAAGACCGTATTATGAAAATTCAGATTGCAAAAAACTGCCATAAATGAGCAATTCAAACAATTACAAATACAAGGGTGTCAGTACAGCCACTTGCAAAAGGTTCCTAGGCCCTTCTAGTCAATACTGATAGGAATATTCACAGTACCTGCTGCTGTATGTGGATCTGTGAGAGCCGCTGCAGTTTGGCTGCATGGTCAGGAACCGCTGGAAGCACAAAGGAGAAATCAGTTTGGGTTGTTACACAGCACATGGGAACAGCTCCCAGGTAAAGCCCAGTCCTCCTCCACGAGCACAGCATGGCAGAACTCCACTCACTGAGTGCAAGTGTCCCACATTACAGACAAAACCCACACAGGATTAAAAAAAACCACTTAACTACCCTGCACATGGCACGGGCTCAGGGATGCCCACAGCGAGGGCTACTCAAGAATTACATCAACCACCTGCCAGGAACGGAGATGTTCTGGATGTAAAAGAGCTCACAGGAAGGAATGACCTGCCAGGCTCCACCCTCTCTGCCACAGTGCTCTCTCCAGCCTGCTTCACAAGCTCCTCTATCGCCTCCTCAACCCTGCAAGGCAGGCTAGAGCAGCATGAGGCAGGAGCAGACCAAGTTGTACTCAGTTTACTCTCACACCACTAAGCTGTCCTCTTCTCTAGTCTCAGGCTGAAGAGAAAGGAAACAGAGCAGGACAGGCCACAGCTCAGCAGGTGGCATTTGCAGCTCCAGCTTGCAGAAGAGCATGCATACCTTGGATACTGGTGCTGTCCAAGATGGGCTGGAGGTTCTTCACCTGCTCCAGAAGGGCTGCACGGGCAGGAATGGCCTGCTCCTCTGGTTGGGGGGACAAGAAGCAACACCAGTAAACACAAAACACTGCTCTGGCTTTTCACAAATAGTGGTAATTCTTCCAGCTGATCTGTCTTTACAGGAAGGAGCTTGTTCATTATTTTATTTACACTTTCGTGCTGCTCATCCCTGGGTCTTGATTCACACCAACTTAATACACGAGAATCTCCACCGAGTTCTAATGACAGGACAAGGAGTAACGGGTACAAATTGAAAGATGGGAAATTTAGGGTGGATATTAGGAATAAATTTTTACTGTGAGGGTAGTGAGACACTGGCACAGGCTGCCCAGGAGGTTATGGATGCTCCATCCCTGGCAGTGTTGGGTCTGAGCAACCTGGGACAGGGAGGTGTCCCTGTCTATGGCAGGGTGGGTTGGGACTGGATGGTCCTTAAGTTCCCTTCCACCCCCTTAACATTCCATGATTCTTTGGAATTCCATTCACAGATTGTACCATTGCAGGTTGATCAAATTCCTTGGGTCAAGAGAGAACAAGGCCAGGGGATGTCAAAATACACCCAAATGTCTTCTGTTTTTGTCCCAGCCTGGAGAATACTGGAAGTGGGGTGAGGAAACCATTCTAGCTCCAGCTTTTCCTCCCAGCCTTTGATTAATTTGGGGCTAAAGTGAACGATCAATATGGGAGAGATCAGAGCTGATAAAAGTACAGCGTGGCTGTGCAGGAGGGAGCACTGAGGCTGACAGACATCCTTGTACAAACCTCTCTCTGACACCTCCACGGGGCGTGCCGTGCCACGTCTTTACAGCTGAAGAAAAGGAAGCCATCCCGACCCCTCTTAGGTAAAGGACACTTTTTTTGCAGTGCTACAAAAGCCTCCTGTTTCCCCTCGTTTCATGCCATACCTGCTAAGATGAACTGCAGCTTCATAGTGTCTGGAACAGCCATCCTGTCGATGTACTGGGGGTCAAGGTATTTTATTACATCTTCAACTGGAGGGATAAACAGGTTTGGAGACAAAAAGTAGGGGAGATGTTATGGCATTCACAAGAGCAGCTTCCCCTCCCTCTATGTACCAGATTACTTTGCAAACACTGCTCACTTGGCCACCTTTTTTTCCCACCTTCCCCAAGATTAATTAATTTCTACGTGACTTTGGAGCTCTGTGACCAAGAACTGACAAGCGGCTCAAGCCAGAAAACACTGCTTTAAGGACAACTGGAAATCTTGCTTTCTGTCTGGATAACAATTACCAAAGGTGAGTGAAACCTGCCACCCTCAGGACAAAATCAGTCAACAGCCCCCCATCCTGGTCCTTAAAATCATCCACAAAAGCATGGTTTATTCTTTTATACTGAGCAGACTTGGACCACAACGACCCTCCCTGCTGCTCCTGTGACAGCACAGAGCAAAACCTGGCCAACAGGCAGCTCTGCAGGATGAAGTACCCCCCAGTTTGGAGGCAGCTCCCCAGTTCTGCCCGCTGAGTGTGAATTTTTTTGCTCTCACCGCACGCAGAGGGCAGAACTATTTCAGCATGCCCAAGTGTGCAGGAATTCATTTAAGCAGCTGATGCTCCAAAAGCCTTCAGAGGCTGCACTTCAGGCAGAGCAGATCCTGGCACTGACACGGGCAGATGGAAACTGAGCAAATAACAG